GGGGCGGGCGGCGCTGGCGGGGAGGTGCCCCTAGTCTGGGCCCCCGCCGCCTCTGTCTCCTGCGCGTGGGTGGCCTCGGCACTTGTCCTCAGGCTCTGGGCTTCAGCGCTCGTGGGCGGCTGTGACCCTAGCGTGCCTGCATCTGAGCCTAGTAGGTGAGCTGCACCTCCCCACCCGCGGGAGCGAGATCCTTGGGCTCTGTCACAGGGATCAAAGGTCCTTGTGGTTGGAAAGGATTAAGCCCTGTCACCCATTTGAGTGTTTGTGGTTGCAAGAAATTTTAGCTGAGGAGTTTACAAGGAAATAAACGCAGCAGTTGCATGAGTTGAATTGCAGATCAAAAAAAAAAAAAAAAAGGTTTACCATTTGGGGAAAGGGTGCCAGCTGGCTCTGCTGAAAGTGTATATGTTTTAAAGGCTGTACTTGATTTTGCCACGTTGTGAGTGTATTTTCTTAGCACCACTAGTATTACTATTAGATATTGTGGATGATTTTATTTCACCCGAGGATTTTTAGGCAAGGAGTAAGGGTGGAGCCTCCTGAGCCTTACTACTCATTACCATTCTTGCTAACCTCACAGCAGCCTAACTGCTTTTATGCAACACAAGTTCATCTCAGACCCATCATGCAGAAACCTCTCATTGCTTCTGTTTTAATGGTAATTTGTCTAATTGTAAAAATACCGAAGTAGTGATTCCAAGTTAGAAAGACGTGATCCCTGAGAACAGTTGGAGAAACATATGGTTTGTTCTATAGCTGTAAGTGATAATTTTGAAGCAATTTTGAAAGCATTCTTTCTCTTTAAGAAAAAAAAAAAATAGTTTCTTACTGAAATGACTTTTTAGGATGTCTTGAAAAACGTAGTGAAATTCATCTAGAAACTTAGGTTGATGCTAGCCATCACATGCATGCTGCAATTTGCTGAAATGTCTTAATCCAGGCGAGCTAAACTTTTACAAAAATAGGTTTGTTTAGAAATCATGTCACTACATGAAAAATCACCACTTTTGAAACTTACGGTTAAAGGCAGTTTCTCTTTTAAAAATGTGCTCATTGATTATTACCCACCCAAATAGCCAGAATATTTTGTAATTACCCATTACCACTCCTACCATCTGAAACGTGCATGAAAAAAAATGAAAAATGGACTTCATCTGAAAAGAGTTGTGTCATGATATATGAAACGTTTTTTGTAACCTACAGGAAGGAACATTGCAATTTTTCCATTTCAGATCGCCTTTGTTTTGCCATTCTCTACAGCAGACCAAAGAGTGCATCAAATGTACATTATTTCAGCATAGATAATGAACTTGAATATGAGAAGTAAGTATTGCTCTTTCAAAGATTGTAACTTTTTTTTTTTTTTTTGAAGAATCTAAAGGTATGGTTATAAATGGGACAGCCTGGGAAAATTATAAATCTGTTGGTTGCTAATTACAGGATACTTGTTTTTCACCTGTAGTAATAACATAAACCTTTAGAGTAAAAAAAAAAAAAACCTCCCTAAATTTAAACTTTTAGATTTGCTAATCTAATATTTACACTACAATGAGATATAAATGTGTACTAAGTAAGATATTGTGGTTTTGCCCTTGGAAATATGTGTGGAAAAACACCCTTTTTAATTTAGAAGGTATGTTCATGTTCATTGAGGTTACATATAGGCATTGTAGCACTTGTGGTCTTTTTGAATAGGCATTATTTACTAGAATAGTTTTCCACTAGTAAAACAGTACCTTTAAGTTGTGTTGGCCCATAACTATTTGGTATATGCTTTCTCATCTTAATTTGATCTTATAGACCCAAAAAAGGCATTTATATTCAGAGCATCTAGAATGTACATCACATTTTTATTTTTCGTTTTTAAAGCTTCTACGCAGATTTTGGACCACTCAATCTGGCAATGGTTTACAGATATTGTTGCAAGATAAATAAGAAATTAAAGGTAAAGTCTTTATTTAAGATTTGACTTAAGTAATCATTGTTAGCTTGATATGGGGGACGAAAGAAAGGAAAAAACATCTCTTTTTAAAAAGGAAATGCCATGTTTTTCACTGCGGTGGTGTTTGGGAAATGCACATGTTTTTTTTATTGTATAAGGTCACAGTGTATATATTTGTTTTCTAGAATTTTGAATGGACAGTTTGAGTCATTTGGTTCTAGTTTGAGTTAGTGATGCCCAAATACTTGAAAAGCCAAAGTGGGAATCAGTTAATTAAGTGAACCGTGTATTGTCTGACCTAATGGAACTGAAACCTAACAAGAGAAACTTCCCTTGCTCTGGCTGTTGTTCTTTCTGCCTTCATTTTGATGGGGAGTGATAGCAAACTAACAAGAAAGATGAACTCATCTTACTTTCTCTCCTATTTTGAAACTCCCGTGATATTGTACTACATAATCCTTCATACATACAATTAAGGGGCATGAGAATCTAGGGCAAATAGTACGTCATTAAGGCTGTATCATTGGTTTGAACTTGGACCACATTCGTGTATGTAAAACACTGAATTGTTGGCCATGCATGGTAGGAAGTTATGTATGTACTGCTTACTAGCAGTTCCAAATCAGTCACTGTAAATTCTCAACTAGAAAATATTGCTTTGTGGGACAGGCACTTAAAAAAAACTTTAATGGAGTACAGAGAGGAAATACAATTTATTTTTAATTAGAATTTTAACATGCTTTAATTAAAAATTTATGGGTAAGGCAGATGTTTTTCTTTGACCATCAAAGCTCTATTCACTACATATTGCTACAAAGCTGGAGACTCTTCTTTTTTGCCTTTCTTAAATAGGAGTATAACTATTTATGGCCTTGTGCATTTGAGTTCCCCCTCCTTTTTCCAGTTGCCAGTGGCAGGTCTTTTGTTTCATGCAGGGCTAGGAAGCTAAAAATAATTCTCTCTTCCCCCAGCATTTGTTCCTTTGCTTTAATTTTGGAAAATTTTTTTTTTTCCTGTACTCAACCATCTGTGGACTTTTAGTCTTTGGGTCAACCAAAAATGTTTCAGTCCATTTTTTCTTCTTCCTTTTCTTTTCTTTTTTTTTTTTTTCTTTCCTGAGACAGAGTTTCGCTCTTGTTGCCCAGGCTGGAGCGCAATGGATCGTTATGGGCTCACTGTAACTTCCACCTCCCTGGTTCAAAGGATTCTCCTGCCTCAGCCTCCTGAGTAGCTGGGACTGCAGGCGCGTGCTGCGCCACCACGCCCAGCTAATATTTGTATTTTTAGTAGAGATAGAGTGTCACCATGTTGGTCAGGCTGGTCTCGAACTCCAGACCTCGTGATCCGTCCGCCTCAGCCTCCCCAAGTACTGGGATTACAGGCGTGAGCCACTGCACCTGCCAGAAAAATGTTAACATATAAATAGAAATATATACACATCATGGATGTCGAGCTCGGTGAACTTTCACAAATGGAATATACATAGATGATTATCTTGATCACCAGGTCAGGAGCAGTGCACTGGCGGCGCCTCACAGCAGCCCTCCATGCTGTCTTCCAGTTCCTGTCTCTGCACACACCTCCCCTGGTTATTCACTGCCCTGGCTTATAACACTGTAGACAATTCTGTAGACCTTTTTATTTTAACTTAAAGGCTTTGGTTTTTAAAGAAATCTTTAAAATTTTAAAGATTTGGTTTTTAAAGATTTCTTTAAAAACCAAACAGAAGGAAAGGTTGTCTTTTCTATCACTCTTGCTTTGTTCTTTTAGAGGCAGCCCGTGCTTTAAGCATATGTCCATTCATGTCTCCTCCCCTCTTCTCTAATTGTATGTCCATTCTCATCCCAGAATGTGCCTTTTTATGGGAAGGTATATGGTATTTGTGGGTATCAATCTTCATCTTTTCAAAGGTCTTGCTAATAATGCGAATGGTTATACATTGTGGGATTTGGAATTAATCTTCATCACAAAATGAAATTGTGGAAGACTTGAAATTAAAAAGAAAATGCTAACAGCTATTTATTTTTATGCAGTCCATTACAATGTTAAGGAAGAAAATTGTTCATTTTACTGGCTCTGATCAGAGAAAACAAGCAAATGCTGCCTTCCTTGTTGGATGCTACATGGTAAGTATTTGTTTTCCTAATGTATTCATAAAAATGCACACAACAGTGCTTCTTTACATTTGCAGTCAGAATTTTTAAATCAAGATAATGTCTTGATTTCTCTCCAGCAAGAACATGTATTGCTTTTAAAAAATTGACCAACTCAAGGAAGCTGTGCTTATGTGGAAGGAGCGGGTAGATGAGAGATCTCCTGTACCTTCCACTTAGTTTTGCTGTGAACCTAAAACTGCTCGGGGAAAAAAGTCTATATTTTTTTAAAAAGTGACCAACTACTTTGGCAAAGGTTTATGTTATATGGCACTTAAGTGTGGAAAATCGTGCTCCAAAGCATTTCTATTCATACTCGTGATCCATTTAGTGAGTTGTAAAATCATCTTACTGGGGTCAGGACCCCACTATTAATTTTCTAAACATTTTTAAGAAAATTAAAGCACATCACTTGAGTGCTTTATAAAATTTGAATCTAGGCATTTTTCCCCTAATTAAGGTCATCTCCTTTCTCATCAAAACATCTAGCAGGAGGCCATGGGATGTCAGTGTTGTCGGAAGATGGGTTACATACCGCACGGATTATATACACATGCCATCAGGTGCTCCATTTGGATCATTGGAAACGTGCTTGGAATAGCAGTATTTACATAAGAGTTGTGAATTTCATTTATTTGTAACTGTGATGGAAACGATTTGTTTTTTGAAGAGTCATATTTTGTTTGGCACCCAGTGGATTCATCTGCAGGGGCGCTGAAAGCTGCCATTTTCCAGAGCCAGCTTAGAGTTCCTCCAGGGCAGTACCCCCATGTGTTTGGTGGTAGGAAAGCCGGCCACTCTGTTCAGTGGGGAGTGGCCAGGGGATATTTCTTCTGCCCGCACCCCACCATCAGTGGAATAGTTACTGTCTCCTAGACTTGAAAAAAAGGGTTGCTTTTGGAGCTCTTTAAGTTCTTTCTTCTGCACTTCTAGCTTGCTCCTTATCTCTGGCATGCCTTACCGGACCCTTTTAAAATTATTTTCTGGAGTACAGTTTGATCATCTGGAATTTACAAAGACTAGTCCAAAAGTTGGTGATACTAGTTGAAATTGTACCTCAAGATTTAATAATTTTCCTTTTTATGTTTAAGGTATATCATTAACAGCAGTGATTAAGGTCTTTGTTTTGTGTTCCTATTTATGCTCACAAAAGTAGTTGAATTAAATGCTTCTGATTGGGAGGCCGAGGCAGGCAGATCGCTTGAGGTCAGCGTACGAGATCAGCCTGCCCAACACGGTGAAATCCTGTCTCTACTAAAAATACAAAAATTAGCTGGGTATGGTGGCACACGCCTGTAGTCCCAGCTGCTCAGGAGGCTGAGGCAGGAGAATCCCTTGAATCCGGGAGTTGGAAATTGCCCTGAGCTGAGATTGTGCCACTGCACTCCAGCCTGGGTGACAGTGAGTGAGACTTTATCTCCACAAAAAAAAAAACACTTTCTGAGAAAACTTCAAAATTTATTATCATCCCTGAAAGTATGAAACATAGGTTATAGATTCTGTCTATTAAAATTTGGTTTCATAAACGTACCCAGATGTATTGGTGTTTTCCTTTCCCAGCCTCTCTTGGTGTTTCTTGTGCTTGCAGCAAAAGCCTGAAAAAAAGAAAGCTTTAGTAGTTTGGCGGGCATGGCAGCGGCGCCTGTAGCCCCAGCGACTCGGGAGGATGAGGCAGGAGAATGGCTTGAACGTGGGCGGCAGAGGTTGCAGTGAGCCGAGATCGCACCACTGCGCTCCAGCCTGGGCAACAGAATGAGACCCCATCTCAAAAAAAAAGAAAAAAAAAGAAAGAAAGAAAGAAAAGAAAGAAAGTCTGTGTGTCACCCCAAGAAAGAAAGAGAGTATGGAGAAGTGGGTGTTTTAACTGGGACATTTGGTCTTATTACTTGGCCAGTCAGTGGGGAGAGGAGCCTCCTAGATTAAAATAAATCATGACAGCTTTATAGAAAAAGAGATTCAGCCAGAATTCTTGAGATTCATAAAATATTAAAGGGAACCCTGGAGAAGGGTCCTTGTTGTGACAGAAAAAGTTCCCTCCCTTCTTTGTGTGTCTTGCCTTTACACTGCTCTAGACAAAGTCTGGATGGCTGAAGTTCCATCTAAGTGCTCCTGAGCGGAACTCCAAAGCAGAGGGGCCAGGCCGGGCTGCTTCTGGGTCAGTCACTGTCTCTGGTCAGATGAGATGTCCCCGAGATGGTAGCGTCTTGAGGAGCCAGGCACAGGGACTGCAGTGTGAAGAACCCCTCTGAAGGTGGCTGTGGGCATGGTGGGAACTCAGTCAGGGTTGTCTTAAAAACAGAAACAGAACATGTGATAAGTTTGTGTTTATAAATAAGAACGCACTCTTTTTAAGTCTTGTTGCTGTTGTTTTTAAACTACTAGTGAACAAACCACAACCCCTTGACGTACTTACTGAAATTTTTTGGTGTATTTGTTTCCAGTTTTATGTTGGCCTTTTGACTTTGTTTATGGTTGTATTTTGGCCCACAGAAGCTTATTTTTCTATAGTTAACATATCTTTAGGTTTAGAAATCCTTCCAGAATTTCACACCTTCAGGTTAGTATTGATTTGATTGGTTAGGGAAGTGCCAGGTAAGCAAATTTGGATCTTCACTCGCATTTATTACTCTACCCAGTGAGGAGCTAGCTTGGCAGGAGGATTATAGCTCTTGGCTGTGACAGAAGCCTTTGCAGCCATAGCTGGCTGCTAAAATAGGAACTGGGAACTGTAGTGTTGATAGGCAGGGAAGCAGGAGAAAAACTTCCAAGAAAAGGAGATGTATTCATAGTAGAAAAGCAGTGTCAAGATAAAATATGGACACCTCAAAAGATAAAACATCAAAGCAAGTGAAGCTTTGATCTGGTTAAAATGTATTAAATCCTCTGGTTAAAGATTTGTAGAGATGAGTGATAGTTCCCTATAGATCGATCCGCATCCTTGATAACGTTTTCTGGAGTTGTCGGGAATTTTGGAGAGTGTTTGACTTGGCATGGTAATGTTAAAACAAAACCAAAAAAATCTGGAGGAGGAATCTTTAGGAAGGAAATATTCCAAATAGACTGACTGTTTATTTTTATCAGTCCTTTTTAAATTCAGGGCTTCTGAAAGGAACCGTGTTTCCGTCATGCTTGTGTACACAGAAAGACCTAATGTGGGATGGGCAGAGAGTGTGAGATAATCCTTTATGGCATGGAAATAAAGTGTTATATTTATTTTTTATCTTAAAAACGGAAGAGGTGAGGCTTCACAAATGTGTAAAATATGAATTGACGTGCCCACAGTCAGTCCTTTTGACAGACGGTCAGGCGTCACGTGTGTGTTACAAGAAGTGAGAAGAGCGAGCTGAGAACTCTTGTCTTGATTGTGTTTCGAAGTACTGCTCTTCATGTGGCCGGGTAAATGACTTTCCCGTTCAGCTATCTGAATGGTAGACTCTTAGGTGACAAATTAGAAGCTAAAAATCTTCTGCACCACTGTAAGAGCTGAAAAATATGAAAGATGACTTGAGCTTTTGTTTGTTTATTCACAAAAAGGTAAACATACTATATTGTTTTAAAAATAAGTTTGCTGCCCTGTTTAAGCCAGTGGCTGTGACCTAGCCAGATTGTGGGGTAATGATACTTAACCTGTCATTTCAAAGTAAAGGTGAAATTTTAAGGGGAAATTTTTAAGTGCTTTTCAAAACAAATTCATAATAAAAAAGATCCTTTTGGAAAGAAAAGTTGGAATTTTTTTTTTGTTGTTAATTTTGTTGTAAAAATGTCATACACAAAATCCATATTTGTACTTTTGAGAAATGTAGAAAAATCTTTTAAAAAGAAGCTTTTATATTTATAGAAATAGGACATGTGCACGTGTGTGTATATGTACAGATGGGTGTTGTGTACATATATGTTTTATGTTTACATACAATTTTAAACTTTTTTATGGATACATAATTGTACATATTTATGGGGTACATGTGATAGTTTGATAAATGCATATAATGTGTGACAGCAAAACTAGGGCAGTTGTGGTATCCATCACCTCAAACATTTGTCATTTCTTTGTGTTGAGAGCATTTTAAATCTTCCTGTTTCGAAATACACAGTAAGTTATTGTAAACTATAGTCACACTACTGCGCTATCTAACACTAGAACTTGTTTCTTGTAACTGTACATTTGTACCAACGAACCAACCTCTCTTCACTCCCCCTGACCACACAACGCCCTTCCCAGCCTCTGGTAATTCTTATTTTACTCTTGGCCTCCATAAAATCAACTTACTTAGCTCCTCCATGTGAGTGAGAACATAATGGTATTTGTCTTTCAACTTTGGTTACATCTTGCTGCCACAGCAGTTAGGTTTTCTGAAGATACATGGTATTCATCTCTTCTGTGGGTTAAATGTACTTTTGAGGGCTAGCCTGGGAAATTAACCACCATTTCTAACATCTTTCTGTGTGTAAAATAAATGCCAAGCATTTTGTGTATAAAATAAATGACACAAGCAAACTTTTGGCACATAGCTTACAAATTTGCTTTCCTCTAATGTTTAATAGATTACTTTGGTGGAGCTAATTGTAACATGTAGGTTCCCTGTTCAGAATTTATCACTGCATATTATTATTTTTTATGTTTAAGCAGTTTGTATAGCTGTAAGAATGGCTTACCTTGTAAGCATTTGTGTTGAAAATGATGATACTAAATTAAATTTAAGAATATAGTAACTCAGCAATCTGTGAGTAGAATTCTAAATTGCAGTAAATTTGAGATTGCCTCTATGGTTATGATAAGAGCTCAAGGACTTTGTTATTTAATGATGATCTTTTGAATCTGTGGTCCCACTTTTTAAATGATTTTTCTTGGACTCAGAATAGCCAGTGCTGGGTTAAGCTGCCTGCAGGAGGAAGGGATCAGTTGGGAAGTTAAGACAAGGGAGCAGAGAATGAGGATCTAGACGCCTTGGCTAAGAATCCAGTTCAACAAACAG